GGGGGGGGGGGGTGGCACGTGCCCCACCTCCCATCACCCCTTATGTGTTGCCTATGTCCCACAGCAAGGGCTATAAAATCCACAGTGTGCCAATATACACTAAATTAAAGCAATGTTCTCAACTTTGTCCTCTCACACAGCACAACCTTGACCATCTCCCAGGAAATTGGTAATCTTGCTTTGTCTTTGAAAAATTTTTACCTGCTATTGTAACATGAACACCTCAGATTCTGAGAACCAAGAGAAGAACATTTCTGTTTTAGCAGTATGCTAGTCCCAAAAGAGTTTGCAGTACTTGAATTGCATCGGTTTAGAAATTGGTGGAGTTAAAATTGGGGCAGACTTTGTGTGATACAATTACACAGATACATATACATTGGTATAGCTGTGTCCACACTAGGATATTATCTTGATATAACAATCCTGTTTCTAAACAGCTCTAGTTAAATCAGGTATCCAGATTGTAACCATACTGGTCTAGAGGCAGTTCATTTGATATGAGCCTAGTCTGCATATATATTGAACTGCCCCAAACGGGAGATTTTACCATAACTTCAACTCTCCTATGAAATACGAGCTTTCAATTCTACCTGGGAGAACTTTTACAATCTTTTCTCCTATGCCTGAAGAAGGGTGCTTGTGCCCGAAAGCTTGCAATTAAAGAATTTTTTTTGCAAAAATTGAGTTGATCTAATAAAAGATATCACCTCTATCACGAGTTCTGATTCCTAGTCAAATCAGTGCACAAAGTATGTATCAATTAGATCTTACTTTATACATTTGACTTATGCCTAGGTTGGTTTGTTGAAGGCACTTCTCTGTCTTGTACACTCATTCAATGACATTGTTCTCATGCAATTCCCTAAGGTGAAAGACACCATTTTCTTCAGGCTCTGCCAGTGGGTGTTTTCCAGTAACAGCAGCAGCAAAACTAAAAGGAGAGACAGCAGGCAGGAATGAACATATAATGAAAGGGAGTAGGTGACTGGTGTTGTCTTAATTTTTTTACTTTCATACCACTCTTTTGCAACAATGGTTCTAACAGCATGCTAAATATTGAGGGACAAAAGCCTGCCTCCCTGTACATTGGCCACGTGTGTAAGGAGTTCTGACCCAGGTTCTCAATCTGTTATTTAAACCAGAAATATTCTGGCCAAAGGTACAATATCCCTCTCAATTACCTGGCAAATTGCTGAATTGACAGAACATGCTATCAGAGTATCTATCACTATAGTGACTTTAATTAGTCCCCAAAGTGGTTATTGATCAGCCATCAAGTGTTCATTGAAGAGAAAGAGCAAGGCCATAGTTTTGCAGATGCTGGGCTGTCACCATGACAGATATGCTGTGATCCTGTTCTGTATCTGACAAATATTTTTAGATTCCAAATTAGTCTCCTTAAAAATAATTAAATGAAACATTTATCCCTTCCTACTTTAGCAGGTTCTTTATGTTAGATATGATTTTTAAAACAAAGATTTCTAATGGACAATGCCAGAATAATAAAGGCTGGAAAAGATCTGATGCTTGAAAGTGCAAGTCTTCTATATGTGAAATGACAAACTGCACACAGAGCTATAGACTGCCCTACCCCAAAGTGTATTTAATTCCATTTGTTTTCCATAGTCCCCACTCTTTCAATTTCCAGGATGGCACGATCTTCTGGCTTCAAAATTTTCACAAGTAACATATAGCTTCAGGTTTGGACAGTTGAGAAGGTAAAACAAAAGTAACCAAAGAATTCCTGCCCTTTGGTATACCCAGTAGTTGTAGCCTGTCCTTACTAGTAACTCCCTCTGCAAAATGATCTTATTTGGATGGAGAAGCATAAATGGAATCATTTCAAATCCAGGTTTTAAGACAACTTGGTCTATCGCTTACTGAAGTTAACCCACTTAAATGCTAAAACGGGATGAAAGC